TGTAATCTTTTTTTTTTGATTTAGCTTTGACTAGTGAATTTATGTAAAAAAAAAAACGACTCATTGCTTTGGGTAAAGCTATAAAGGGTAAAATAGATTTGTAAAAGGATCTGGATCACTTCTAAGAGTATTTTTTCCCTCCTTTTTGAGATGACATCGGTTACAATGGAGCCTAATGTGATGGAGCTTCTATTGAAATTGTCTATGAAGTTTCTTGTGTCTTCTGTTCGACCGTGATGGTCTTTTATCTACCCAAAAGCTTTTAGTTTTGTACTCTTCATTCATTCTTGTTCTCCGATGTTGGTAAAAGAAGATAGTTATCTGGATTTTTTTTTCCAGAGTATATTACCAGTTATATATACCTTTTGTTTTTTTATGCAATTAAACCAATCAGAGACAAAAAAAGAGTATTGTTTCGTTTCACAAAAGCAAAAGAGAGACGTGGGTGGCTTTAATACACACTGGAAAGGTAAAACAACGCAACCAAACACATTTGCAGCATGAAATAAAACCCAAATGGATTATGTATTCCCTGTTATTCTTTTTTTTTTCCCCATATTCCAGTCTGTATAGCGTTCTACTCAGTGATGTTAAATCGAAACAACTTATATCAAATGATTTACTACAACCAATAAACTATAATCAGAAAAACCTGAGGAATGATTTAAAGTGCTCTGTATTAATGTGATTTTTTGTTGTAGATAATTTCTACAACACAACCCATTAGTCAATAAGGAAAAGTCATGATTCAAGGAATCGATGTGTGCCTGCACATGACCCTTTGGATAGGTATGCGATGTCTGTCCTTCTCTTTTCAGATGATGGGGTGCTCCCTGAAAGCTTTTCCTTGATCTCCCTTTTATTTTATTTTTTTTGATATTTAGATCGATATATTTTTCCATCGTGAAGAGCCCTTTCCGGATCTAAATGCCTGGTTCTTGAGTATCGCGTGCCTTCTTGTTGAAATGAACGCCGAGCGTGCTGCCATTGATCGGGTCTGCCGGCTCGCGGAGGCGCTGGCCGGGGAGGCCGGCAGGCCGCTCTACGCCTTTTTCGCGCTTTTTTCGCTGCTTCGGCGAGGGGGGGAGGGGGCCGCCTTCGCCCCGCGGCGGAGGGCGCAGGAGGCGATGTTGCGCGTGCGCGCGGCGGAGCTGCTC